TATTTCATTTAGCTTTTATAGTAACACAATTTTTCATCAAATGTAAAGTTTAAATAAATATAAAAACTAATTTGACAAATCTTATTAATGTTGAAGACCAAGATATTACTAAAACTCATACAAAAAAGGTACATGAAAGTAAGCTATCATGCATATTATTTAAATATTTTAAATCATTATTTTTTCAAATAAATAAAATAAGTATACGCATATTATTTAAATATTTTAAATTATTATTTTTTTCTAAATAAATAAAATTTATCTTAAATTATATAAAATTGCAAATGTATAAAAATAATTGCGCAATATGGAAAATGGCACAAATTGAAAACAGTTAATTTGAAGTGATAAAACTTTTAGTTTTCAATTTCATATTTTGTTAGTATACTCTATAATACTCTTTATATATAAAATTTTTGGATATTTTATTTTTCTTTAAATATTATTATATGTTTTGAATTTTTTAATTAAAATTTTAATTTTATTATGTTTTGATGTCTTAATTATATTATTTATAATTTACATATATATTGAACATCTAAGTTATTAAATAATATTAATTTATACATCTAAACATATTTAAATAAATAAAGATAATTCATGCATTGTACGAGTTAGAAACTAGTTAAAAATGTAAAATAATAGAAAAAGGCCGAAACAAAATATACAATCACACTAAAAAAAACCTTACTCCTACTCAAAACCACATATTCCTAAAATTCAATTTTAAATACTTTTATAATAAGTTTAAATTATATAAGATTCGATGATTCTAAGGAGTGTTTTTTAAATACTTACTACCTATTAAAAACACATCAAATTACCATTTTATGAATGTTTTTATTACAATATCTTTATCAATGCTTTAAAATAGCTGCATTTTATTGCAATTATAAAACTATTGATAATGCAATCAATTGCGTCTATATTAATATATTTATTATTATTAACATAAATTTTAATAATTGAAACTCTTTTTCTCTTATCACAAAGGCAACATTATATTTCCAACATCGAGAGAGTCCTTATTGAAAAGAAGAGTTAACAGCATCTATGCTTGTAAAATTTGATTTGAATTTTATTTTGATATTGGATTCTCAATTTTCTAAAGTTATACAATTTTAATTATTTTTTTTATAAAACCATTTAAATTGACAGCAAATATCAACTGGCACATTGTTGATGGCATTAGTTAACATATCTCGTGATAAAAGGAAAGACCAAAATAGAATTTCATTCAAAATATAGGAACCAAAAGTGCTATTATCTTAAATTTTTGGCTAAAGGGTATAAAGCCCTTGAACTGTAATTAAAAAATCATCAAAATCTTCTTTTATTGCAATCAATCAATCTGTTCAATATTTATTTTCATCTAATTAAGTTTTTTTTTATTTTGATGAAAAAGTTAACAACATTTATTAATTTGTCGACTAAGATAAAAGTTTATGTAATATTAATAAAATAGATGAAAGTTTGTCATGTGACATAATTAATATATGTGAAAATTAAATAAAATAATCTTTTTTTCTTTACTTTTCTCTATTTAATTTTTCCCTCTCTTTCTTTAAGATTCTTCTAAGAATTCAATTGATTGTAATTCGAAGATTAATTGATTAAATTTTATCACATGATTACATTTCTATCATTTAAAGATTCAATTGAGTCGAAATAAAAGATTAAAGGCTTGATTGATTGCAATAAAATGTTAATAATTTAATTGATTATAATAAAATAGTAAAGGTTTAAATGATTATTGTATTTAGTTTAATATCATTTTTTACCCTTTAACCTAAACTTTTTATATTTCAAACATATCTTATAAAATATCAAATTTAAAGTAATATATTTATATTTTTTATTCCAATATAATTTATTAGTTAAAAATTTTTGGTTTTTAATAGAAAGTAGATTATAAAAAATTACAATTAAGTTAAAAATTTTAAAATCCTATAAAAATTTTAAAAATAAGTAAACAATTATATATTGGTTTTAAAAAATTAAATAAAACTTTTTCATTTCAAAATATTAACTGTCATATCATTTAAAAAAATCAATTTATTAATCTATTCATAATTTTTTTATTGAAAAAAAAATTATTTTAAATCAATTATTTTTTAAAATTTTATATTAAAAATAACAAATAAACAATTAGAACGTCTCTTAACATTGCCGATCTTAAAAAAGGAATAAATTGGGTTACTAAAAATAATAATTTTATTTTATATAAATATATAATTTCAGTTAAAATATATTTAAAATGGATTTTTTGGAGATAAATAAATTTTTGAATAGATTAATAAATATATATTTTTTAAAATGATATAGAAATTTTTTACTTAATATTTTAAAATGGTAAGGAGTTTTTTATTTAATTTTTTAAAACAATAAACAAATTTTTATTTAATTTTTTTAAATGATATGGAATTTTTTAAAGGATTTTGAATTTTTAACTTAATTTTAATTTTTTAAAAAATTTATTTCTGTTAAAAATATTATTTAACTGATAAATCATATCATAATAAAAATAAAAAACTATTTTAAATTATTTTAAATATAAAAAATCAAATTTTCATTTTATTATTTTTATATTTTTTCTTCTTTATAAAATAAATTTTATAAAATATTTGAATAAAGAAAAAGGAAAGATCTTTAATTTTTTTTAGAAAATATATTTTTTGTAGAAAATAATATTTTCTACTATGATTTATCACTAAAATAATATTTGTAACAAAAAAAAGATATTTTGTTTTTAAAATGATATGGAAATTTAAAAAAAAAGATTTCAAAATTATAACTTAATTTAAATTTTTTGAAATCTATTTTCAAAAAAAAAAAATTAACCAATAAATTATATTACAATAAAAATATAAAAATGTTATTTTAAATTTTAATATTTTATAAAATATATTTAAAATATAAAAAATTCAAGATAATAGCATCCTTAATCCTTACACTTTAAGCAAAATTCTATTTTAATCCCTTTGTTTGTCATGTGAAATGCCAGTTAAAGCTATTTATGTGGCAACAATTGACATTTATTGTTAATTTAGATGGTACAATAATCGAAATGACCAAAATTATATTAATTTTGAGCAATTAAAAATCCAATTAGAATATTTTAAAGATTTAAAAATCAAAATAAAATTTGACTTAAAATTTAAGAATCATAAAATATTATTAACTTTTTAAAAAAAGAATCATTTCATTTTGGTAACCGATATACTTATTGGATGAATATGAATTTTAGTATGCATGTAATGATTTTTAAAAAATAATATCTAACGTAAAATTTATATTTCCTTTTCATTATTCCAACTTACAATATGTTTTGTAAAAAAAAAAGATATACTTATTGGATAAAGTGGCTTCCGTCCACTAGAGGTGAAAAAAAATATATATAGATTCAAAATTATAATTTTTAGTTCAATTTTGGTTTAGATTTATACCGAATGTCATATTGGAATGTAAAAAATAAAAAATTAATCAAATTAAAATATATTTTTATTAATTTTTATATTTTTTAATTTTTTATAAAATAAAAATAATTATTTTTTATAAATCAATTTTAATATATTAAAAATTATATTAAGATAATATAAAATTTTACAAATCAAATCAACAAAATTCAATTTGAATTAAAGTAATTTCAATAAAAAATTTATTTCAAATTCAAGAAAATATTTAATATAATACTATATATTATTAAAAATAAATCAAATCAAATTTTATCCGAACCATTACAGCCACTAACATCCATTGCCTTTTGCATTTGAATTTGATAATCCACTTTTCTTTAGCCTTTTTCTTTGTTGCTTTCTTTTGTAGGCTTTGTCTAGGATACCTAGTCGATTGTCACCTTTGCTTCGCAATAAACAAGCAAAGCAAAGCAAAACAAGAAGTAGTACATGGCTTTAATTTTTATTTTTTAACAAAGCAATTCTATAGAGATCTTTAAAAGTGCCCTTTTCTATTTTTTTTTTGTTTGAGTTTGTAAGCAAATAAAATAAAATATTTATCTAATTATAATTTCTTGAGAAGTAGTTGAAGATAAAATTGTAGAAACAATTTAAAAAAAAAAAATGAAGGCTTCTAAGTTAAGTTTCAACTTGAACTTTAAAAACAACTTTTTTAAAGGTAAACTTTTTAGTTTTTAGAGGATTCAATTATTATACATTTTTCTCCAAAGACAAAGTAAGAAAATTAAAAGACCCATTCACCAACTTTTCTTAGCCGAGAAGGAAAAGTTATCGAACATGTGGGAAGCACGTGAGGACATAGGAGTAACTGAACCGGGATTAGACTTATCCAGGACCATGAGCATGAGCCGGGTTGCCCACCAAACTCACCGGCTGAGCTCGACTCAGGTAAGGTTTAAGTCCAACTTGAACTCGATTATTATTTTATTAAAAAAATTTATTTTTATTTAAAATATTATTTTATGATTTTTAAATGTAAAGAATTTTATTTTAACTTAAATGAGCGGATTGAATAAAAGATAGAAAAAAAAAAAAACCTTAGCTTAAATAGTAAAATATAAAAAATATCATTCAAATTTGATCTTAATTCGTGAATATTCTAATGAAATTGATTTGGTTTAAATAAAAAATAACAAAATCTCCTGTTTATAATCAATTAAGTTGACTGGAACTTAAAAAATTCATTTTACTTGTTTGAATTCAAACTACATTCAATTTAATTAAAAAATAAAAAATATAATTCAAATTGAAATTAATTTAAATTCAAAATGATTAAAAAAATAATTTAAAAGGATTGAAATTTGCATTAATTTAATTTAAAAAAATCAATAATTTAAACCAGATACCATATCAAACTCAAATTATGCTAACAAAAAATAATAAAAACTCCAAAATAAACTTGAATTTTCTTTAACACAAAATGACCCACCCGTCCCTATTACAGCACCTTTAGCTACGCTTATAACCCCCACTTCTCCCCCCCCCCCCCCCCCCCAACTGGCCACTGCAACGAGCGTTGTTTCTAATTCTAAAAACGATCAGAAAAAGAGAATAAAAATGTCGTCCCTTTTCGGATCAGGTCCCAGCTCTTCTAGTTTCGGTTTTGCATTCTCCTCATCTCCCGCCAACTCTTCTGGTTTCGCTCGTTTTGCTTCATCTTCTGGCGGATTCAGTTCAACAAGTCCCTTCACTGCAAATTTAGGTTCCTAGTTTTTATTCTTATTTTTCTGAAAAAGAAACACTACGCGTTAGCTGCTTTTTACAATTTTTTTTTTTTAGTATTTGGTTAAAAATGAGTAAGTGTTTGATAATGTAGCCTAAGTAGGTGCCTGAGTTGATCAAGTGGAAAATTTTTTTCTACCTAATATTGTCTCTATCTGTAGGAAACTCTACTGGTTTCGCTCCTTTTGCTTCATCTTCTGGCGGATTCAGTTCAACAGGTCCCTTCACTAGGTTCCTAGTTTTTATTCTTATTTTTCTGAAAAAGAAACACTACGCGTTAGCTGCTTTTTACAATTTTTTTTTTTTTTAGTATTTGGTTAAAAATGAGTAAGTGTTTGATAATGTAGCCTAAGTAGGTGCCTGAGTTGATCAAGTGGAAAATTTTTTTCTAACTAATATTGTCTCTATCCGTAGGAAACCCTGCTTCGACAATATCAACTTCCAGTGGCACCACTGCCCAAACATCACCAAGTGGGAGGTACTTATAGCTTCTTGTTGCTAACTTTATAGTACATGTTATAAACCTTTGACCCTTTTCCAATCTTTTTTTTAATGTTATTGATGCTTTTGGAGCTTCGATTTTATGTTGGTAAATCCATAGGTGTCATGGGTTGCTTACTTCTAAATCAAGAAAAAAAAAAAAAAACCATCTTATGCCCCCTCTTCTGTTACTTTATCCAATATTTACTTTTTTATAATTCTATTAAGCTGGTTTGGAATGCTCATATCTATACAATTTGAAGAAAAGGGAATATGAGACCCCATTAGCAAGAAATAAAGACCTATATATCTCTTGGGGGATTAATAAGCACCAGCCGTTATTGCCTGTTTAGTGTATTGCTGCTCTTATGTTTTTTAAGAGAAGTTTGAGAGGTTTTTTCATAAAATGATTTAATAAGGATTATAATAAAAAATTTAAGTCGATATATTGATAGAGTTTAACGTATAAATTAATAATATATAAAAATATTATTAAAAATATTATTTATAATTCAAATTTGATTGATACTTATTCAAAAATAAAAATTTTATCAATATTTTTACTAAAAATATTTATCTAAAAAATATATAAAAATTTATTTAAATGTTTTCAAATTTTGCATTCTTAATCTATTTAACAAAACCTTTCAATCTATTCTATTGATATTGATTTTTTACTTTAGTTTTCATTTAATCATTTTTACTAATAAACTTAAGGAACTTCACCAAGAAACTTTATCTAAGTCTTTCCTTATATCTGCTGTTTGTTTTCTTTCTTCTGCTATAATTGTAGCAGACTTGGATGGCTTTTCTGCTTTGCTGTTGGCTAATAAAAATTTTTAAGTCATCCGAACAGAAAAAGGGTAATTCAACTGTCTCACATACCATTTACCTTCTCTGTTTATCGCAGGAAAAATTCATCCGTCACCACTCCAGTGAATGAGGTAATTTATTTTCTTTTTCAAATTTTTTGTGACACAATGAGTCTGAGACAGTTTGCTTTGTTTCTGAATGTGTGTGGGGAAAGTACATTAAGAAAGATGCTCTCTAAATTGCTACATATTAATGCTAAATGATTATTTTAACATTTTAGAAATAAATATTAACGTCTGTGTTTTTTCATGTGCGACCGTTGGCAACATGCAAATCTCATGAAACCGATTAATGGCTTGAAGAATACGGAGGATGATTTGCAAAAGAGAATACGTTTCTTAAGCGGACTTGTCAAGGCATTCAAGGAACAAACCCACACTGATATACAGCTTAAGCCTAGCTATGGGCCCTGCATACTAGCACACAAAGCTTTACTGGTAATACTCGCTAGCTATGCTTGCATTACATGTTCTTTTGTTTCTCTGTAAACATTGATCACAGATTTACCAATGGTGCAGGCAGCAAGATCTGAAATCTTCAAGAATATGCTGGACTCAGTTGGCTGCAAGGCTCCATCAAGTGATACCGATATGATCACTCTCTCTGAGTTAAACACAGAAGAGCTTGAGTCTCTCCTAGAGTTTCTTTATACTGGGAACTTGCCCTTGGATAAGTTGGAGAAGCACGTTTTCAAGCTATATGCTGCAGCTGATAAGTATGAGATTCCATACTTACAAGAGTCCTGTGAGCATTATATGTTGAATTCCTTGACTACATGGAATGCTGTTGATGTTTTAGAGATCTCAGATGCTCATTCAAGCGAGACACTGAAGGAAGGTACTCTGAACTTCATTGTCCGAAACATGAAGGGTGTAGTTTCCTCACTGAAGTATGAAGATTTTGCTTCGAGTAACCCACATCTTTGTGTGCAGATGACAAGGGCGTTTGTTGATGCCAAAAGCCATTAAATTAGCTAGTTGAATTGACCATGCCACCAATGCAAGAAATGGCGTTTTAGGAGGAAAGAATTTGGGATGCTGATGCGATGCAATCAATTGGAAGGGAATGTATAAAGATCAATGTAACTATGGCATTTTAGAACAAATTATCCTCTTAATGAATCAATACAGTCTCCAATAGTACTTGTGTGAATAGATTAAAAATTGTTTCCAGTTGGGTTTGATAATTATTTTTAAATGGCAAAAACTTACTTTAAAAATTAAATTTACTTTAAATTTTTGCGAATTTCTCAAATTAAAATTTATTTTAAAAATTATTTATTCAAACTTAAATGCAAGTTCATTTTCATTTCAAACGAAATTATTTCCCTTGAACTTCATGTCCAAGCATGAGTAAAAGACTTAATAATTTAAAACATTTAATAAAGATTAAAAGTAAAATGTTTCAAAATTTGATTAATGTTTGAGTGATTAAGTTATTTTCCAATACCAAAAAAAAAAAAAATCTCTAAACCTCTAGGGATAATGTACTAAAATAATTCCGATTTGTAATCTATTAACTAAATTATTTTAATACGATAATTAATTTGATTAAAATCAAATAATAAATGCCCCTAATGTATATGTTCACTTATTAATAACTAATATATCTAGACAAATGTATAGATTAAGGGGTAAGTTTGTACAGATTTAACTTTGTAATATTAATTATTTATAAATTAACACTTAATTTTTTTAGAGTTTTGAGTATGGAAACAGTGTCCACATAGCACATTTTCCTTTTTTTAATTAACTTTTTTTAAATTGATTTTTTTTCTTTGATTTTTTAGTACCCATCTTTCCTTTTTTTTATTGTCTTTTTATTTTTTATTTTTTACTATATTTTATTTTTTGAGCTTTTAACTTTAATTTTTTAATTAGATATATTTTGTAAAAAAAAGAGTCAAAGAAAGTAATGACAAAATAACTCATATATGTTGACACCAATTTTGTCCCAAAAAAAATAAAAATAATAATATTATTAAATAAAAAAATATGAAATACCAAAAATAAATACCAAAAAAATAATATAAAATACAAAAAAAAAAGAAAAACAATAGAAAACAAAAAAAAAATCGAAGATGGCAATGGTGCCATCCCCGGCACCACTGTCACCAGGCCCACCCCTATCATTTACCTATACCTCGTTCATCCTACCCTATTACCAAAAAATACATAAGAAATAAAGAGGCATGAGGCTCGTGCTTACACCCCATGTCGAGCCCCATGCCCTTCCTCCTAACCACGCACGGTTGGAGCTCTATAAATAGAGCTCCTAGCCAAACCAAAACGAGAGAAAACGGAGACAGAGGGAGGAGTAAAGCTGCAAAAATAAACTGCCAAAACATAAAAAAAGAAAAAAACAGAAACCACAGTTATCGTCGAATCGACAAGAAACCCAGCGCCAAAGAGGTACCTGCAACAAAAAAAGAAAGGTTATTAGTTTGAGTATTTTTTTTATAAAAAAAAAAAGAGAAGAAGAACAGAAAACTTTGAACCCCGATCTACATCGATCAGGGTCGTTTCCAACGAAGAAGAGATCGGATCTAGAAAGATCGCATTGAAAGGAACCTTCTGGTCACTTTTGAAGTTTTCGACCACCTACGACAACGGACCAGGAGGCGGTCGGCGCGGTGCTCCGACAGCCGGACGGCAAGGGTGCCAGACCTCTACCCAGAGCCCTTCTCTCCCTTTTTTTTTCTTAGAAACAGAAAAATGAACTGAAACAAAAAAATGGGCCGCTTTTATAAAGAAAGCATAAAAGCAAAACGATGTTGTTTTGAGCATAGGGCCAAAACGACGTCGTTTCAAGTATAAGAGGATCCGCGCATGGACTGAACTCGACCCGAGATCCGTGCAAACTGACCCACCAACTCGTCTCAGCCACCCTTCAGCTGGTTCAGACGAACTGCTAATGAACCGATCGGAATCACTGGATCGTCCAAACCGCTGATTGAACTACCGAACCGGTCAGATTGGTCCAGACCAGCGTTGATCGGACCGTTGATCGGTCCGGTTCAGGTAAATTTTTTTTTTTTTTAATTTTTGAATTTTTTTATATATATTATTATTGTTGTTATTTTAGGTATTTTTACATATTTATGCATGACAAGTTCTTAAATTTGTTAAGATATATTTTTAATTATTTTAATAATAATAAAATTGAAAATAAGTGATAATTAAATATATATATTAAAAATGCTTTAAAAAAATATAATAATAGAATAATAATTATTATTTTCCCTGCCTAAATGTTGGAGGGAATAAAAAATATTTTTCTAAAGAAATAATTTCGCCTAGATGTTGGTAAATTATTATTAATAAATTTTCATAAAAATAAAACAAATAAAAAATAATAAGAAAAATTTAAATTAATTTTAAAAAATTATTAAAATCGAACTTGTTTCGAAAATCCGTCTAGATATTGGAGATTTTTTAGAGATGTTCCTATTTTCTTAAAAATGAAACTTTAAACGTTAATTCTTAATTTTCAAAATCCTAGGTTTCTAAAACCCTTAAAATTCGAAACCCCTAAAATTCAAAGCCCCCAAAAAATCTGAAATTTTAAACCTTTAAACTCTTAAATTCAAACCCCAAAATTCAAAATTCCTAAAATTCAAGCTTTAAAACCCTCTAAACCTTAAAACCAAACCTTCAAAACCTCTACTCAAGCCTTTACTCAAAACCTCCTAAAAATCCTAAGGACACGTGTGAAAATTTCATTTGAAGCAATTTGTTCTCGAATGCCGCCTAAATGATAGGATATTTAGAAAATTTTACTTCGTTAAGTCTTTTCACACGATTTCTTAATTCGTATTAATAATAAGATTAATTAATAAAAGTATAACAGTAAATTGAGATCTTAAATATAAACAGTCGCACCTAAGCTCTGCCTAAATGTTGGAGAGTCGTGGTGGTCTCATTATCCTTAAGAATCTAACTTTAAAATTGCATCTCATCCTACATAATACTCATTGGTATACATACGTTTGCGTGTTATCATTGGTAATTATTTGCATTATTCTGTCTTTAATTTTTATTTATTATTTGGTGATAAAATATTTTATAATAAAAAAATAATACTTAAAATTTTTTTTTGTGATATTATAAAATAAAATAAAAAATAACATTCCAAAAGAAATAATTCTTGGTACTCTACCTTGATGTTGGAGAGTCACTAACAATTATTTTTTATAAACATTGTTATTTCATTTTAAGGATTATTGTGTTAAATCTTAAGCGAAAAGAATTATTTTAAATTCTGCCTATATGTTGAAGAATTTTAAGATAATTTTTTAACTCAAAGATTTTCTCAATATTTCTAAATAAAAATTTTAGCAAAATTTTATTTTTCCAAATAAAGGGAATTAGTGTTAAATTTCAAATTAAAACCATTTGTATCCAACACCAAAAATAGCGCATAATTAAATGGTATCAATTTATAGGCGTTGTAGGGGTGTTAATCCTTTCCCACACGTAACCAACTCCCAACCCAACCTAATTTTTTGTAGATCGAAATTTATCTTTTTGATAAACTTTAAACCCGTTTTTATAGTTTTATTAAAAGGATAAACCTTTGGGTAGCCAATCACACCCTAACAAAGATTGGTGGCGACTCTCCTTTTATTTTTCTCAATTTTAAAACTCATTTACGTTTGACGGTCCCAAAACCGTTATGACAGCTTGGTGACTCCACTGGGGACATTTGAGAGTCAGGCCAAAATTTTAATTATGCGTTATTAACAATGGTTGGATTTAATTGGTTTTATTTAATATTTAGTTTAATTCCCTTTGTTTTAATTTTTTTAAAATATATATATATATATACAAGTTAATAAACAGAATAAATTGCATTTTAGTTGTTATTTTGATTTTGTTCTTTTGATTTATTTGGATTAATACATTGCTTTACACACACTTTGCATATTCACTTACATGCATGAGCTCTATACCCGGGCTCTTCCCTTTTAAGAGGAAGTGAAGTAGCTACGCTCTCGTGAGATGATAACCTCCGCATTTGCTAGTGAAATACTTCCACTGAGATTGAACCCTTTCCGTTAGTAACCTGTAATGGGTGAGGATCGGGAAACCTTACTAGTCTATAATTGATGACGATGTGAGGAATAGTCTGGGAACCGTTAGAGGCATAGACCTTAACCCAGCATATCGTAAGCCATATGAACTTTGCTGATCTTTTTATAGAAATAACCAAAAATGGATGATAAAAGAAAAGCATTTTCTTAAAATAAATAAATAAATAAATTTTCTCTTTACATGTAGTTCATTCATTTGGTAATTGTTCAAATTTTATAATTTCATAAAATATTTTAGAATAAAGTGATTTTTTTTAAAGCATTATCCAACAAGCCAAAAAAAAAAAAAAAGGTTTTTCAGAAAAATTAAAGATTTTTCTTAAATTCTTTATTTATTGGCCCAATAAAAAAAATCAATTTTCATGTCCTAGTTATTTTGTTTTTCCCTCTAAAATTTTTTTTTTATATTTTGTTTCATCTTTTCCATTTCATACATCATAAAAAATAATACATGTATCATATCCCATATGCATCATAAAAGGTAGTATCAATTTCACTAGGTTGGCATAATACAAGCATTGCATTCCATGTAAAAATATAACATGCACTTGATAGGTTTATGCATTCCATACAAGTATTAGGTTCATGCATTTGATACAAGTATTAGGTTCATGCATTCCATACAAGTATGCTGTATTAGTCATAGGAATATATCTCATCATTCATATAAACATGTCATTGCATTTCATGCATATAAATTCATGAATGGTAGGGTCGTATGGAACAAACGTTGCATTTCATATCCCATTATCCTTGCAACATAATATTCCTTACAAACACATTCATGGCTGATAAAAATTTTCATTTGAGTCATTTGTACATATAAAAATTCATTGTCATAGGCATATACGCATTTCATGACATTCTTTAGCCATCTTATTCATGTATTCATACTTCGTGTGTCATTATTTTTGTGATATTCATTCAATAAGGGTAGTAATATAGAATTTTTTGTCTAAGTACTGGAATAAAATGTCTGTCTTGGTGGGAATCAGAGTCACGAAAATGGGAGA